GAGATGTTACAATTCCTTTTGATGGCTGCATAGTGTTCCATTGTGTGTACCTGCCATTGGTTATTCAACTGAGGTTAGCTAGGTTAAGCAGCTTGCCCCAAATCCCTCAGCTGGCGCCTGTAGAATTAGAACCAAGGTCTGGCTGGGGTGCCTGGGTGGCTCAGTTGTGAAGTGTCTATCTGACTTTGGCTCAGGTCGTGATTTCATGGTTCATGAGTTCGAGTCCCACATTGGTTGAGCTCAAGCCCTGCTTCTCTCTCTCTCTCTCTCTCTCTCTCTCTCTGCCCCTTGTTCTCTCTTGCCTTCTCTCTCAAACAAAACAAAACAAAAACGAGGTCTGACTCACTCCAAAGCCTGTATTCTAAACTCGTGCTTCCCAAACTTTAATACATACATGAATCACCTGGGGCTTTTGCTAAAATTGCAGATTTTAGGTGTGTCTGGAGTGGGGCCAGAGATTCTGCATTTGCTACAAACTACTAATTATGCCAAAGCAAGGCCAGCCTAGAAAACTCAGCCAGGGAATGAAAAACTACGGATGCCTGGGTCCCACCCCCAGAGAGGCCAACTAACTTCATGTGCCCGGGATGTGGCCTGGCTTTCTTTCCCCCCCACCCCCGGCAAAGTTCCCCAGGTGATTCTTGGGTGTAGTCTGGACTGAGAACTACTGTCTCAGAAGCCTGTTTGTTTTGAGGAATTCTTCCACCATGACTAGTCTGCAGCTTATCAAGCTGGCTCCTGGGCAGTTAACTGGCATCAGGTGCTTTAGAGCAGCGTGGTGCCGTTTCACAGCCCACTTCAATACCTTATCAGGAGTTCTCCTTTTACATTTGATGGCCTGCTGTTTGCCAGCTACATATCTATTGGGTAGGGGAGAGTATAGAAAAATGATAAAGTCATGGCTCCTTCTCTCAAGGTGTTTACAACCCAGCTGTTTTTACCTCTGGGTAAGCCCCAGAAACAGTAGAAAGAACAGAGAGCGTTGAAGTTTACGGGCCCAAAGGACCATACCTATCTGTGCTTCTCTGAGAGACAGATAGGAGTCAGTGATCAGAAAAACTTCAGAAGTTTTTAAACTTTTGAAGCTGGTTGGAGAATATGGTTTTAGGTCTGTAGCTAAGTGCTTTAAGCCTTGAATTTGACGGTCTTGTCTACCTGTTCATGGTGGTTCTGGATACTGCAGGCCTCCCCTCAGTCCCCACAAGGGTAGGCCCTTACGCGGTGGCAGATGGAGACCAGAAAGCACACGCCCCACAAGCCCCCTGACACCCGCAGGGGCGGGAGTTAGGGCCCAGCCAAGCACGCTCGGTTCCTGGTTTCAAATTTACCAGTCAGATAATGCATTCCTCTTCCTACAGGGAGGGAAGTGTCCTTACCTTGAACCGAACAGGCAGCTGCCTTCTCTGGCCACACTTAGGGCCAGCCCCAGTGCCACATGATAGTTGTGCACATGACAGGAGCTCGGTGGCTCTTTGGGTCTGTCAGGTTGATTCACTGGCTTCCCAGAACCCCAGCTGCTCCAATCTCTGCAGTCTCCAAGAGAGTTAGGTCACTATGCATACCTTGTCATTCCGTACTGATAGGGTGTTTTAGATTCCTTCGCGCTTATAGTTAAGGTTTCATTCATTGGGAGCCCTTTGATTTGAAGACATTTCAGGCAGGGGACAATATGATTTCTATTTTATTCAGACATATACTCAATCAAAAATATTCATGAAGAGCCCTGTGCTAGGCCCTTTGGGCACAGCGACAAACCAATGACCCAGGGTCCCTGCATCATGCAATTGCAGTCTAGTGGAGAGATGGGTGTGAGAGGAGAAAACAAACAAGTATACAATAAAAAAGGTTTTGGACTTTGGTTCAGGTCATGATCTCGCGGTTTTTGTGAGTTCGAGCCCCGCGTTGGGCTCTGTGCTGACAGTTCAGAGTCTGGAGCCTGCTCTGGATTCTGTGTCTCCCTCTCCCTCTGTCTCTCCCCTGCTCACACTCTCTCTCTCTCTCTCAAAAATAAAATAAACATTAAAAAAATAATAAAAAGGGTTTGAGTCCCTTGAAGGGAACTATGGCAAAGAAGAAATGAAGGAAATTTTCTTACAAAGTTCAGCAAACATTTACCATTTGACCCGTTCCTACAGATGAGATCATATGTCCCCAGAGAGACATGAACACACATTTCAGAGCAGTTTTATTCAAGATAGCCAACAAGTGTAAGTGACCCAAATGTCCACCAGCTGGCGAATGCATAAACAAAATAAGGTATTTCCATATCATGGAGCAGCAGTAAAAAAGAACAAACTCCTGAGACACCAACAGCCTGGATGAATCTCAAAAATGTCACGCTGAAAGAAGCCAGATTCAAAAGAATATGTACTAAACGATTCCATGTATATAAAACCCTGAAAAAGACTGTAGAGAGAGAAATCAGGTCAGTGGTTGCTTGGGACCCAGGGGTGGGGAATGCTAGGGAAGGGGCACAAGGGAACTTTTGGGGTGATGGGGGAGCCCTGGATGTGGTGATGGTGCCCACATTTACCAAAACTCACCAAACTGTGTGCTTAAAATAGATGCATTATATTATATATAGTAAATTGTGCATCAATAAAAGTTGATTAAAATGTAACTGGAGTAGAGACGAAGGAAATAAAAAATAGAAATGGGGACGAGCAGGAAGGAGAAGGCACATGTATTTAGAGAAGGTGGGGTAGAGGGGGGCTCTTGGAGGGAGAGGACATTAAGCTGAGGCCTATGCGTGAAGAGGGCCAGAGGAGGGAAGCATGAAGACGGGTGGTGGGCTGGAGCGGGAGAAGCTCTCCAGGCAGTAGGAATGGCAGATACAAAGGCCCTGAGGTAGGAAGAGCCAAGGAAAATTGCTCTTGCTATGATAATTAATTGGACTGAGAAGACTGACCTGGAGATTTTTGGCCTACCTAAAAGTAACAAAGTACCTTTGAAGAATTTGAGTATCACCCCCCACCCCAACCTGCAAACATTAACAACTAATAACGAGGCATCCTCTTCTATTCATTGGTACAGGACCCATAGTGACCTCTTGATGACACTTTATAAGCCATTCATTTAAGTTGACGTTCAAAAGGGGCGCCTGGGCAGCTCAGTCGGTTAAGCGTCCGACTTCGGCTCAGGTCATGATCTCACGGTTCATGGGTTCGAGCCCCGCGTCAGGCTCTGTGCTGACAGCTCGGACCCTGGAGCCTGCTTTGGATTCTGTGTCTCCCTCTCTCTCTGCCCCTCCCCCACTCGTGCTCTGTCTCCCTCTGTCTCAAAAATAAATAAACATTAAAAAAAAATTGAAGTTGACATATGAGGGTATTGGTGAGTCATACAAACAGTATTTCACTGAAATGCCTAATTTCACACTTTAATATATACTGGTGTTCTCTTTCAGTGAATTTCACCAGTGACAGGGATTCTGAAAGGACAGCATAATAAAGTTCTATGGTAGCCTCCATCTGCCACAACGAGGTAGATGATTCTTCCTGTGTGCATTTGTCTCTCCAGTTGCCTGAAATCTAATGATCCTTGAGAAATGGGCTCTGAGCCCTTTGGTAGGAAAGTTATAATTCAGGATATTGGATCATGGGAGAGGACAGGATGAGAGGCCTTGATAATCAGGGCTTGGTTTCCATCATTATTGTTTTAAGACTCTGGTTCCAAGTAAGAGAAGACAATGTCAGCTAGATTAAGAAAAAAAGGAGTGTTTTTCAAAAACATTTTTTAAATGTTTATTTATTTTTGAGGGGGGGAGGGGCAGAGAGAGAGGGAGACACAGAATCCGAAGCATGCTCCAGACTCTGAGCTGTCAGCACAGAGCCCAAAGCAGGGCTCAAACCCATGAACCGCGAAATCGTGACCAGAACTGAAGTCAGACACTTAACAGACTGAGCCACCCAGGCGCCCCATGAAATGTTTTTTAAAATTTAAATGTTTATTTATTTTGACAGAGACAGTGTGAGTGGGGGAGGGGCAGAGAGAGGGGGAGAGAGAGAATCCCAACCAGGCTCTGTAACATCAGCACAGAGCCCACTATGGGGGCTCGAACTCACAAACCACAAGATCATGACCTGAGCTAGAATCAAGCGTCAGATGCTGGGGTGTCTGGGTGGCTCATTCAGTTAAGCGTCTGACTTCAGCTCAGGTCATGATCTCGTGGTCTGTGAGTTCGAGCCCCACATTGGGCTCTATGCTGACAGCTTCGAGCCTGGAGCCTGCTTCATACTCTGTCTCTCTCTTTCAAAAATAAATGAACATTAAAAAAAGAAAAAGAGTTGGACGCTTAACTGACTGAGCCCCCCAGGGACACCAAGAAATGTATTTTAATGTTACAGGAAGGGACCCAAAGACAGGAAAGTAATCAGCCCAGGAAAGGATGGAAATGGACAGGCCTGGAAGAACTGGAAAAGCACTGTCGTTTTCCTGTTTCGCTCAGTGCATCTGTTCATTCTTGGGTCTCTCTGCAGACCAGCTTTCTCGGTTCTTTTGCCTGCATGGGGGATGCGGCATCACACTTGGAGAAGTGACTCCCCATTCCAAGCTGGTGGTGTTATGCAGTATGAACAGAGCCGTTGGGGCCTAATCTATAGGTGGGTAGGGGGATTTCTGGGAGAAGAAGGAGTGGTTGTGAGGTGGCAGGTACCAAACATTAACTTTGACAAACAGGTGGCAAAGATTTTAGTATTTTAAAGGATCCTGAAATTGTTATTGCCACTGTAATCATTTGTTAACACATTGCGTGTGTGTGTGTGTGTGTGTGTGTGTGTGTGTGTGCGCCTGTGAAAGGCACTGTGGGGAATATGAAGATGCAAACTCTTATTCTAAGAGCTTTCGTAATTTGGTTGATATTATAAAACATGTACACCAAGGATGTGAAAAAAGTATGTGATACATGTCATTAAAGGTGACATATTATAAAAGATTGTAAGGTTCCTACCTAACTGTGGTAGTTAGTGAAGACTTTAAGGAGGAGGTATCTTTGGGGCTAAACCATGGAAGTTGGGTTGGATTTTGATAAGCAGAAATGTCGTGGGAAGGAAGTTTGTGTAGGGTTGAAGATTGAGGCTTATAGCTGGGTAAGAGTCAAGTCTGCCTGGAGAACTAGGAGATTCATTTTGCTAGAACATGCTACAGAAGCATATGGGAAGTAATGAGGAAAAGTGGAAAGATGCTAAATGTGGGGCTTCTTGGATTTTTTTTTTAAAGTTTATTTGTTTATTTTGATAGAGAAAAAGTGTGAGTGGGGGAGGGGTAGAGAGAGAATCCCAAGCAGGGATTTGAACCCATAAGCTGCGAAATCATGACCTGAACTGAGGTCAGACGCTTAACCAACTGAGCCACCCAGGAGTCTCAGATATTCAGTGTTGTGGACTTTGTTCTGTAGGCCAAGAAGCTATCAAACCCTTTTATTTATTTTTTTTATTTAAAAAAAAATTTTTTTTTTTTTTTTTACATTTTATTTATTTTTGAGACAGAGAGAGACAGAGCATGAACGGGTGAGGGGCAGAGAGAGAGAGAGGGAGACACAGAATCGGAAACAGTCTCCAGGCTCTGAGCTGTCAGCACAGAGCCCGATGTGGGGCTCAAACTCACAGACTGCGAGATCATGACCTGAGCCGATGTCGGACGCCCAACAGACTGAGCCACCCAGGCGCCTCTATCAAACCCTTTTAAACAGAAAGGAGATTATATGAGAACAGTGGTTTAGTACAATTAACCTGGGAGCAGTGGGCCTGGAAAGTAAACCAGAAGCAGAACAAGTGTTTAGGAGGCAACTGAACTGTTACTAAGTAGGGCTTATACGGGCCACCTGGATGGCTCAGTCGCTTAAGCGTCCGACTTCAGCTCGGGTCATGATCTCACAGTCCGTGAGTTCGAGCCCCGCATCAGGCTCTGGGCTGATGGCTCAGAGCCTGGAGCCTGCTTCCGATTCTGTGTCTCCCTCTCTCTCTGCCCCTCCCCCGTTCATGCTCTATCTCTGTCTGTCTCAAAAATAAATAAACGTTAAAAAAAAAATTTGATAGCCACTAGACATTTGTGGCAATTCACCACTTTTTTTTTAGGTTAGTAGTTTTGGGGGGCATCTGGGTGGCTCAGTCTGTTAAGTGTCTGACTTCAGTTCCAGTCATGATCTCGCAGTTCGTGGGTTTGAGCCCCGCGTCGGGCTCTGTGCTGACAGCTCAGAGCCTGGAGCCTGCTTCAGATTCTGTGTCTCCCTCTCTCTCTGCCCCTTCCCCGCTCATACTCACTCTCTCTCTCTCTTTCAAAAATAAATAAACATTAAAAAAAATCCTTAAAAAGACAGTTTATTTTTTTTAGTAATCTCTGTACCCAATGTGGGGCTCGAACTCATGACCTAGAGATCAAGCATTGCCTGTTCTTCCAACTAAGCCAGCCAGGTGCCCCTATTGACCATTTTTAATATGTAGGGCCACATGTTGCCACATGAGAAAATAATGTTTTAGATATATTGGGTTAAATAAAATATACTAATAAAATTAATTTTACCCATTTATTTTTACTTTTTAAAATGTGGCCAAATCCTATATATACAATGTTTTTCCTGTACATACACACCTATGACAAAGTTTCATTTTCAAATTAGGCACAGTAAGAAATTAATAACAATAAAAACAAAATAGAGCAATTGTAATAGTCTATTTTTTTTTTTGTAATAGTCTATTTTAAATTTTTTTTTTCAACGTTTATTTATTTTTGGGACAGAGAGAGACAGAGCATGAACGGGGGAGGGGCAGAGAGAGAGGGAGACACAGAATCGGAAACAGGCTCCAGGCTCCGAGCCATCAGCCCAGAGCCCCACGCGGGGCTCGAACTCACGGACCGCGAGATCGTGACCCGGCTGAAGTCGGACGCTCAACCGACTGCGCCACCCAGGCGCCCCTGTAATAGTCTATTTTAAAAAAACAATTTTTAATGTTTATTTATTTCTGAGACAGAGCGAGACAGAGCATGCACAGGGGAGGGGCAGAGAGCAAGAGGGAGACACAGAATCCGAAGCAGGCTCCAGGCTCTGAGCTGTCAGCACAGAGCCCGACACGGGGTTCGAACTCACAAACCGTGAGATCATCACCTGAGCCAAAGTTGGTCTCTCAACCTACTGAGCCACCCAGGTGCCCCAATAGTCTATTGTGATAAAAGTTATATGAATGTGGTCTTTCTCTCAAAATATTCTTTTTTAAATTAATTAATTAACTTATAGAGAGCGAGTGCGGGAGAGGGGCACAGGGAGAGAAAGAGAGCGTCTTAGGCTCCATGCTCAGCACTGGAGCCCGATGTGGGTCTTAATCCCACAACCCTGGAATCATGACCTGAGCCAAAATCAAGAGTCACCGTTCCACCAACTGAACCATCTAGGTACCCCTCAAAATACCTTACTGTACTGTACTCTCCCTTCTTCCTGTGATGATGTGAAATAATACGATACCAACGTGATGTGACGAACTGTGGTGAATGACGTAGGTATTGTGACATAGCAGTTCGCTACTATTGACCCTCTGACAGTATTTCAGAAGAAGGATCATCTATTTCAAGACCGTGGCTGACTGCGAGTAACTGAAGCCCTAGAAAGTGAAGCTATAGATAAGGGGGGGGGGGACCTACTGTAGGTTTATTTGGGAACAAAGACAGTAACAGCCATCAAACTCTCAAAACGGAAAGAACTAGATCTCCATTGCCTTTAATATAACAGAGATGTGGGGGCACCTGGGTGGCTCAGTTGGTTAACGGTCTCAACTTCAGCTCAGATCATGATCTCGTGAGTTCGAGCCCTAAATCAGGCTCCTTTGCTGGCCGTGCAGAGCTGCTTGGGATTCTCGTTCTCTCCTCTCTCTCTGCCCCTCCTCTGCTCACGCTTTCTCTCTCTCCCTTTCAAAACACAACACAATACAAGACAATACAACAGAGATGTGGCTTTTATATCTAGAAATGAATTTCCCAGTGTGTCTAAGGAAAAAATTCTGTGAAAAAAGGGTTCCATGGTCAATTACATTTGGAAGATAGCTACATACCTTAGCCTCCTCTTGGAGATTTATCATGCCCTTCAGAATATTAAAGCTTTAAGAAAATGACTTAAGTTTATCTTATATTTCCCAAACTTACTTGGGCACAGTCCTAAGCCATTAGTTGTTATCTGGTAATAGTATCCAAATCAGGGATATTTAGTTGAAGATAAGATAGGCCTTGGGGTACCTGGATGGCTCAGTTGGTTAAGCTTCTGACTTCGGCTCAGGTCATGATCTTGAAGTTTGTGAGTTCGAGCCCCATGTCGGGCTCTGTGCTGACCACTTGGAGCCTGGATCCTGCTTTGGATTCTGTGTCTCCCTCTCTCTCTGCACCCCCCCCCCCCCCCCCCGCCACTCATGCTCTATCTCTCTCAAAAATAAATAATAAAAAAAGATTTTTAAAGAGAGATAAGATAGGCCTTGAGGTTGAAAACAGAAAAAGTTTTCAATCCTTTCAATACTTGGGAAAGGATAGAATCTTCCATGTCTAGGAAACTGAGTTGTTCTAAACTCATTATATTTCATCTTCGATTTTCTATCTTTATTCTCCTGAGACAAGTTAAGCTTTATTTCTGAAAGCAGGTAATATTCATATTGCCTGTGAGCTCTGGTGAGACCACTAGAATGCCACATGCTAGCTATTGTGTGTGTGTGAATGTGCACATGCACATATAACACACATCTCTATCCCTCTTCAATAGCGCATTCTGGGCCAGGGGCCAGGCCTTGGAAGAATGTCTAGGGGCTTAACAACTTCATGTTCTTCATATTTTTGTCCTTTGGGAGAGATAATAGCCAAGGTTTTCCCAAATTTTCACCATTATACTCTGGAAAAAAAAGACCATGGGCTTGACAGGGGCCTGATTCTATGCTTTTCATTTTCCTGGCACTAATACAGCCCAATGAAAGGAGAGAGAACTTGATCTATAAACTTCTGTGGCTTGGCGCTCTGGTGATCATACTTCTGGTTTTTTTACTCCCCAGTTGCCCTACTTTAGCTGCAAGAGACCTCAAGGGAAACTCAGAGAGGGTCTGTCCCCTGGCTCTCAGGAAGCAGTAAGAGATGAGAATGTGAAGCTTCTCGCGTCCCCTGGGATCCAGAGGGCAGACTGTGGGCCCTAAGATGGCCTCCAATGACTCTCTTCTTCCTGGTATTGGTGTCCTTGTGTAGTATCAACCCACTTTCAAGAGGGCTGATCTGTGTAATAACAGGATATTGGATATTGCAATAGGGTGTTGCAGAAATGATGGAAGTATGACTTCCCAGGCTAGATCTTAAAAGATACTGTGACTTCTGCATGTTTTTCTTTGAAAAACTAGTTTTGGGAGAAGCCAGCTGTCATGTTGTGAGGACATTCAAGCAACCCTATGAAGAGGCCCATGTTGTGGGAGCTGAGGCCTCTTGCCAACAGCTAGTACCAGCTTGCCAGTCATGTAAATAACCCATCTTGGAAGGGCACCCTCCAGCCCATATGCCCTCAACTGACTGCAACTTCATGAAAGGCCCGGAGCCAGAACCACCCAGGTAAATCACTCCCAAATGCTTGACCTACAAAAACTGAGATAACATATATTCATTACTGTTCTCAGCCACTAAGTTTTGGGGTTATTTCTGAACTAGCAGTAGGCACCTAATATGGTAGATGTGTATTCTATATGATGTTTTGTCACTGAAATGGCTCTATCATTAATGGCTCTATCAATGGCAAATCACTACTTTAGAATTTGATTAGTTCCTCTGAAGCACTATGCTTACTATGACCTCTGGTGCTTATTCTGATGTGTATACCAGAAAACTGGTTTCTCCCCAAGGGTAAAGTAACTGAGACAAATGGTAAAAAACTTCATGATTCTGTCCCTCTAAATGATGCTGTGTGTTATAATAACCGCAGAGAAAGGAAACCTTTTTTTTTTAAATTTTAAACGTTTTTTAATTTTATTTTTTGAGAGACAGAGTGCGAGCATGGGAGGGGCAGAGAGAGGGGGGAGACACAGAATCCAAAGCAGGCTCCAGGCTCTCAGCTGTCAGCATAGAGCCTGACTTGGTGTTCGAACCCACAGACGGTGAGATCATGGCCTGAGCTAAAGTTGGACGCTTAACCGACTCAGCCACCCAGGTGCCCCAAAAAGGAAACCTCTTGTTACTTTCATTTGACTTTTTTTGGAAAAAAAAAAAAAATGTAAGCTTAATCATGGGCTTCCTTGGTCCAGGACAAATCTTCAATTTTTAAAAAAATAAGTGCCATATTTAAGTATAACACACATAGAGAAAAGTGCACAAGTGAACATCTTGATGAAATATTGCAAAGTGAACACACCCACGTAGCCATCACCTAGACCAAAGAAATTGAACCTTGCCAGCCTTACAGAAGTCTAATCTGTTGCCCTCTCATGCCTACTCTCTTCCCTTCCCCCCACCCCCAAACACCATTATCCTGACTTCTCACATCATTTATTAACGTTGAACTTCATGTAAATCATATGGTATGCATTCTTTAGTGTCTGGTTTCTTTTGTTCAGTTTATTTGCATTTTTACTTTTAGGATTATAAACATCTTGCCTAATTGTCATTAGTATATGCTTCACCTGTTATTTTGGATAAACTTTAATGATAGCCACACACTGTAAGCTTACACCAGGGAATGAAGAAACATATTTATTTAAGATGACAAAAAGCCTTCCACTAATTTATTGGAATTTTACTGAATCTGTGCCTTTTGGTAACTGTAACGCAGAGGGTAGCTGAACTTCTCAGGAATCCAGGCTCTATCATTTAAGCTGTGTGCCTCTGGTTAATTTGCCTCATTATCCAAGTGTTGCTAGATGAAATGACATGTAAGGGCATTACATACACTGCAAAACACACACACACACACACACACACACACACACACACACACACACACACACCCAAAAAACCCCCTACACCTATTTTCGGTGTCATTTGGATATTGGGGTTCATCTTGGCAGCCTTAGGTGATGATTCTTGATTCTTCAGGATGATCTATCACAGCTCAACAGGCTTGGAGGAAAGCTCCCTCAGGTCAAGGACGACCAGATTGGTGAGGTGTAGGCAGAAAGATAAGCAATACTGGGGACTGGGATTTTGAAGGCTAGCTACAGGTGTTCTTAGTTCTTGTAGGATCCATCTGGGATGGGTTCTTGCAGGAGCTGGGATTTCCAGAGTTTGGATACAGGGTTTCCAAGGTTATTCCTACAATGAGGGGGAACTAGTTTGGAGTGAGCCTGGCTAATTCTACTCAACAAGCAAGAGAGAAGCTTATCTTTCTCGTTTTGCGGGCTACTAGCAGTTATTACAGCAAAGGTAAAAAAAATGAGGTCTATCACCCAAGGGACATTACAGTGTCCCCGGAGAGGCACTTAGGAATAATTAGCAAGAAAAACTAATAGTCCTGTTAAACTTGACGGACTGAGGGAGTGCCCTTGAGGGTACAGAGCAAGGTGGGGTCATTCCAGGCTTGGATAACCTTTGGAGAAGGGATGGGTGGCAGGGCCTTAGGTAGGTGTGAATGGTCAGTATCTCAGGGCTGGAGGTGACTGTGGTCTCGCCCCCCAAAAGGGAATAAGATGATTAACGCTCGCGCGCGCGCACACACACACCCCTTACAACCCAGGTTCCAAGGCAGCCACCAAATCCTTCTGTGTCCCCCTAGTGCACCGCACGGAAAAGGAATCCACACTGTCCTTCAAAACGCAAACCCTACTCCCCGGCTCCCACACCCCCTCCTTCAGCACTGAAGGGTGGCGTAGGATTTATAACCCACCTCTTTCTTCCAGTTGCCATGGAGACCAGCCCCAGACCTTTCTTTCCTTCTGGTACCGGGTACGTTTCTCCAACGCAGGCGGAATGGAGGGGGCTTAGCCCAACCACGCCAGTGGCAGTGCTGGGGGAGAGGGTAAAAAAGCGCGGAGGGGCTGGTGGTCTCGACGGCAGTGGCAGAACCAGGCCAAGGGACAAAGGCTAAATCAGCCGCGGTTCAAGCCCTTCGGTCTGCCAATGACTAGAGGCCAGACGCTGGGGGCACACTTCTGGGCTGGCGGAGGGCATGGGCAGGGGGAGAGGGATGCAGCAGCGAGGCGGGACTCAGGGGCAGGGCCCCCCTGACCTGTCCGCCAGGGCGGGCGGGTGAGCCGGCCCCTCCACCCACACGTCCATTGGGCGGCGCCGCCATCACTCTCCCCTCGGCAACACCGCCTTCTTCGCGGCCAAGCTTCGATCCCCTCCCCCGCCACTCTCCGCCCCGCCCCGTCCTGGGAGCCTTTCATTGGACGGACGCGCGGTCGATCCGCCTCGAGTGAGGGAGGCGATTGGACGCGAGGCCTTCGGGCCGCCCCCAGCCTATTTGGATTGGCTTGCTGCGCGTTGGCGCAACGGAAGAGGCGGACGGTGGAGGGGGCGCCTCTGCTTGGGCTGGACTGCCGCGGAGGAGGCGACGAGGGTTTCGGCGCTGGGGGGCTGGCTTGGGCGGCAGCGGCGGCTGCTGCGGATGGGAGCGGGCCGGCTCGGCGTGCCCATGGAGCGCCACGGCAGAGCGGCCGACACCTCCGCCTCGGCGGGGGAGCCGGCGCCCGAAGGGCCTGATGGGCGGCGGCGGGAGCTGCTGCGGCGCCGGGCGAGTAGCGCGTCGGAGCCCCCAGTCGGGTCCTCTGCCTCGGCTTCGGCAGAGGGCATTAGGCGAAACCGGCCCGGCTCCTACAGCGGCGCTCCCTCGGCCTCCCGCCAGCGCGTGGAAAGCCTCAGGAAGAAGCGGCAGCGTAAGTGCCCGGGGGGTCGTCCTCGCGGCTCGCCCTGCCCCCTTCCGGCGCGGCCGCCGTTTTTCCCGCGCGCTAGTGTGGGGACAGTGCCCCCGCACGGTGGTCCTAGGTTGGTGCACGGGCTGAGTCCCGGCTGGAGGCCTCAGGTCCAAGTTTGGGGCATTAGGGTCCGGCCCCCGCCCAGACCTCGGGCGCAGTGGTCCGCCCTTGACGGTGGTGGAAGTGGAGCGTCTTTAACTCAGGACCCTTTCTTCCTCTCCTTAGCTCCTTGGGCATTCTTTGCCCGAGAGTCACATGATTTTATCGTCGAGAAGGCTTCTTTTGACTCATTTCCACCGCCTCCTTTCCCCTTAAATCCTTTGAATCCCCCGTCTGTTTTCCGTGGGTCCCAAAGAGCGGTGTCCAAGACGTTAAATCCCTTTAATCTGGAGATTTCGGCCTTCCTGGAAAATGGTTAACTAGCCCTTGAGTTGCTGCAGGCCTAAAACTGGATTCCGTGTTCTGTGCACTTAAGCTTTGGCTGCTTTTCTTCCCGTGAGAATTCGGGCCATCTCTCACCCAGATATCTCTATTTTCTTTGCATCTATTTGCTGATACTCACGATTCAGATCTGTAGCATTCTGGGCATTAAGGCTTTTTATTTTGAGGGAATCTCGCCTTGGCAGTTGCACATGCTCTTTCTGGAGAATCGGTTTCTCCATTTTCTTACCAGGCTTCTTCTTTTCCTGCGTTGTGTTCTAGTCCATACATTTTCACCCCTTTAAAGGTCTTCAGTTAGCATCCTCAGTCTAGTAGCTATTGCTACTGTTGAAAGTATCCACTGTCTTAATACTCTAATATAAGCTTTATCATTTAGTGACATTTTACATTTAGTGACATTTTTGTCTTGTTGCCAAATTCCTCTTTCAGGAAATCAGCCTGTTTTAAATGCAGGTTATGAGAGTGAGGTCTTTATTGGATGGTCTTGTACCTCAGCCAGCCACCAGGTTGCTGTACTTTATCTTACATGATTTGGATGATTAAATGTTAAATGTAGCCCTGTTTTGCTGTGAAGAATTTGGGAGTCTGAATTATTTTGTCTTTTCCTGTCTTGAAAGAAATTTGGAAAACAGATTAACTGCTCTCAATCGATACCATGTTTAGAACCAGTTACCTGGTTTGTGTTTTATTTGAGAAGCACCTGATTTTTAAGCAATGCAAAACGTCAGTGGTTTTGTACTACATCATTAGAGATGGTTGTAAATTTCAGAGATTCACAGCCCTCTAGCCAGCTGTCTTTTAGCCATTGACCATAAGAATTCTAAATAAGTACTTTTTTTTATATTAAATATAATTTATTGTCACATCGGTTTCCGTTCAACACTCAGGGCTCATCCCAACAGATGCCCTCCTCAATGCCCATCACCCACTTTCTAAATAAGTATTGTGTTTTGGGTGTTTGCGGAGGTCAGGCACTCTACTGAGAGCTTTAATAACTCATTAGTACTCATAACTTGTTGATTCCATTTTACAGATGAGAAAACGGGGGTACATTTGCCCCCTGTCAAATGGCTTGTGAGTAGTGGGATAGAAATGTAAATTAAGGAAGCCAGCTCCATACATCCTCTCAACCACTGTGCTTTATTGAATTGTGTCTATTCTGTTAGCTGTTTCTACATTGCTCTAAAGCTAAGCATAATCACTATCTTTTGTGTTCAAGACTTACTTGAGATGAAAATTTCTAGCTACTGTGGAAGTACTTCCAAATTTTGAGCATAAAAATGACCTTGGGAGTTAAAAATGCAGATTCCTTGGGTCCAACTCCATCTTTTTGAATCAGAGTCTGGGGAGGGTTCTAAGAAGCTGCATTTTAACAAATTCCTCATATCATTTACATACAGCTGCTCAGAGACACCTGTGGAAAACTCTGGTTTAGATTGTATTGGGGGGTGGGGGTGGTATGTAAGGTGGTTTTGAGATGTCTTTATTTTTTTATTTTTAGAGAGAGAGTGCACCTGCAAGCCGGAGAGAGGGGAGAGAGAATCTCAAGCAGGCTCCATGCTAAGACCGTGGAGATCATGAACTGAGCTGAAATCAAGAATTGGATGCTAGGGGCACCTGGGTGGTTCAGTCGGTTAAATGTCTGACTTTGGCTCAGGTCATGA